GCAAAACTACCATGTATTTCTGAGAATATATTCATTCAGGCGCAGTTTAGGTAAAATATACATGTGATGTAACAGTTTTTTAACTGAAAACGATTAAAAAAACACGTACCCTCTAGCCCTGTTCAAGGAGAAGACTGGAAGGAGCTGTTTGGTGCTGAAGACGATGACAAGGAAAATGATTTTGATGGATTTTAATGAAAATATTCAGAAATATGGTATCGTAGTATTTATTCAAGTGAATTAGGATAAATATTATTGTAATACAACAGTAGTGACGATGTGGAGGAGGCGGAGGAGTGGTGACTGGCGGAAGCAGGGACGAGTGGAGATGCCAGCCAGTACATTACGAATGTACAGTATTAATTGTTTTTATAGCTCTTTTTGCATTTTAATATTAAATACTGTACATTACGTTTCAACAAAACTACTATTTATTTCTGAGAATATGGAAATGTAATATTTTTGCTGAAATGACGTACGTATTACAGTGGAACGTGGGATAAAATTGTGACGAAAGCAATGACTTTCGCTTTCGTTCGTTCAAAAGATGTTACCGTAATCGCTTTTCGAATGATTTTCAGGTGTGGGATTGAGGCTAATGATAGTATAGAATATTATTGTAATACCTGTACAGTACAACAGTTTTTTAACTGAAAACCATTTGAAAAGCGATTACGGTAAAATCTTTTGAACAACGAAAGAAAGCGAAAGTCATTGTTTTCGTCATGATTTTATCCCACTTTCCACTGTAATATGTACGTCATTTCAGCCAAAATATTACATTTCCATATTTATTTCTGAGAATAATTCATTCAGTCACAGTTAAGGTAAAATATACTTGTGATATAATATTTTAATGAAAATACGGTATCATAGTTTTCTTTTGTTTCAAATTTAATTAACAAAGATTGATGTTTGAAATGTAATGAACAAAAATTTATGTACAGTATCTATAAATAAACTTTAAAAAATGAATACTTCATGTTTTACATCGTCCTGTGCATACCATACCATGCATTTGGCTACTTTGAGCTTGCTATGATGACGCAAGAGATCTGCCCTGGCAACTGTACCGACACTCACAGCTGGTGGTGCGTCGTTTCCATTGTTTACTGGTAGTTACTGGTAAATATTTTTCAACGTAACGAAACTATTACCCGTTCAGAGGTTGACCCCCAATTTTTTGCCAAATAATTTGGTCTTAAAAACTTGAACTACACACAGGTATATACGGTAAATAAGGACATAGGGGGGCCAGGGGTTTTTTAGGGGGAGGGGGGCAGCAATAGTACACGGATTTTTAACATTCACGGGTATCTCTATTACCTAACCCCCGCGTATGTTAAGGGCCAACTGTATTTCAAGTAAATTCTTTGTTTAGTTCTGTACAAAGAGACTGGTGGTGGAGGAGACCCTTGGGGGTAGAAACTGACAGTGCACCCCCAAAAAGGTTCATCTGCCTCTGTTATTCTTATTGGGCAATATATTGTTCATTTGTTATTTCTTAATTACTGTAGTAAAGATATGTTTCTGTAATAATTTGAGTTTATTAATGCCAGTACCCTTCATATACAGTAAAATATTTATTTTTACCTTATTGTTCGACCTGTCATTTAAGGACATCAAATTGGAAACGTTTCATAGGGAATCTATTCAGGATCAATCTGGTATCAAATTCATCTATCTAACACAATTAGAAGTTTATAACGAATACTGTGAATAAAAGGAGGTAGGGAGGGAGAGGTGGAAGGGTCCATTGAAGGGTAAATGTGATCTGGGAGGGCCCCCCACTACTGCCACATTCATGATACAATATTGTTTATTTGTTTTTCATTAATTAGTAAAAATACGTTACTGTAACAATCTGTGCTTATTAATACCTGTACCCTGCATATGCAATATAGTACAGTACTATGTATATACCCCGTAGGTAAAAAATAATGTCATTCAAGACATCTTCAGGTCATAAGACCCCGTAATCCCCCACCCAACAATGGGTGCTCTGACATTGCATCAGGACAGGTTAGTAACATGACCCAATCATCTCCCACCCAACTTCCATCACAAGTGTTAAGATGTGATTACAGTTATGTATTACAGTCAGCTGAGTGAAGTGTCAGCTTACTCTAGGCTAGACAGGATTTGCTGGTGAGAACAATATACAGTATAGTACAGTAGTATACATTATTTTGTTTACAGTATGAACAATATTGTACAGGTTTTACCTCTCTAGTCCGGCAACCTCGAGACCTGACCGTGCCAGACCATGGAAATTTCCGGATCATGGAAATTCACCCTTTTCCTGGATAGATAGTGACTTGTGCATACACTTGGAAGCACTAGCACCACTTTCACTGCTTCATGGTCTCTTTGAAGACATATTGAAGGTTTTTAATTCGACGTTTTTTATTTGGACACAAAAAAAACCCACTACACAATTTAAAATTTTGACGGCGGAAACTTGAATATCGACAGGTTTGAGCGGCCCGCCAACATTGAGACGTGCACAATTGTGTTAACAGCGTCATTTCTCTATGTACAAAAGATTCATTATTGTTTATTACTGAATGTCTTTTTGATTGAATTAATGTTTATGTGTGCAAAATGAACAATACAATTAATTAATATGTAGAATATTAAAACACACGAGGAGACGAGACGGCATTATTTTCGTTTTTACAAAACCAGTGACTGACTGGTTCTACATATAAAACTGAAGAAAATAAGATCCTGGTTGTAGCTGTAGCAAAATTAATGTAAAAAATTAATATGGTTGTTTTAAGTTATGTTATTTAATGTTAATAAATGGAACAATAAAAGTAGCTAACCATTAATGGTAAAGAAAAAAGTGAGACTGCGCGTATGTAAGTGCGCACATGTGAAAACATATTGTCATTACTCTACATAAGAATATGAAAGCAACACTTATTTGCTGTTCATATATTTTTAATTAATGTTTTTTTATTGAATTAATGTTTATGTGTGCAAAATGAACAATACAATTCATTTATAATACGTGGAATATTAAAACACGCGAGGAGACGAGACAGCAATGTTTTCGTCAATGTTCACAAAACCAGTGATTGATTGGTTCTACATATAAAACTGAAACTAAGACCCTGGTTGAAGCTGTAGTAAAATTAATATGGTTGTTTTAAGTAATGCTATTTAATGTTAATAAATGGAATGGAAGTAGCTAACCATTAATGGTAAAGAAAAAAGTGAGATCGTGTATGTAAGTGCGCACATGTGAAAACATATCGTCATTAATCTACATAAGAATAAGAAAGCAACACTTATTTACTGTTCATATATATGTATTTTAATTAATGTTTCTGAATTTAAAAAAAAAATTCTTCCCACCAGTGGGGGTAAAGTTGAAAACATAAAGACAGCCAATGTTGTTGTGTGTGTTTTTACTCGGATGACGAAGTTGCCAAGTCATCAGGTTCAACTCAAGCTAAAGCTGAAGAACATAAGAACTTTTCTATGTTGTTTTTAGTTTTAATTTAACTTTATCTGTGTTATTTTCGTTGGTTAATTAGGATGTTGCTTTATTACAGGTAGTAATTCGCCAAAAAAGTAGGGTAAATAAGGCCAAATTTAGCCAAACATCGAAAGTATCAGACTCAAATTAATTTTCTCCATGGGCAAACTAAAATCGTTCCGGACCACGGGAGTTTCCGGACCACAGAATGCCGGACTAGAGAGGTACAACCTTTATGTGTACAGTGGTGTTTGGGTAAATAAATGGATCCTATAAGCTGCATTGTTTACTCTTGGAAAATACCACACTGTCTTTGCATGTCAGTATCATACAGATCTATTGTTTTTTTAAATATATTTATTTAACCAAACTTTCAGATAAGTATTGAGGATTATTTTGATAAACAAAACAAATGGTGTGTCTAACGATATTAGAATCGATTTTATTGACTACGGTATCTTTTTTTTAACGGAATTCCCATCATATTATCATATTGAAATATTTCATTTAAGGATATCTTATTGGAAATGTCTCATGGAGAATTTATTAAGGATCATTATGGTATCAAATTCATCTCCCTATCACAATTAGCCACACTTAAGTGAGGAGGAGGGGAGGAGGGGGGGGAACTGAACTCACATCCCTCCCCCTTCTCTCTCCCAAAAGGTTTGCCTCTCACCGGCTCCAGCCATCCGTGTGACTGTGTGGTAACGAGTTAAATATCAGCTGTTGAGGAGTGCTTGGCAACACTCCTTTCCACATCACATCACCTCTCTAATTACCCACACCTTTCTGCTTTCTCACTCCATATTTTAAAATGTTGTGTTAAGTAATTTTGAGGGGATACAACTTTGCTCATTTATATGTATACTTATCACAATCTCCCTAAAAATACTTTAGGTTTTGTGTTTATTCAAGACATCTTCAGGTCATAAGACCCACTAATCCCCCACCTACAAAAGGGTGACTTGACATTCCATCAGAAGGTCAATAATATGAGACCACTAATTCCCCACCTGACATTTCATCAGGTCAGTTACAAAAGACCAGGTAATCCCCCAAAGCTCCATGGGAGTGGAAAGTAATAGTCTTTGCTGTAATACACAGTTTCATTTACACCCATATCATATAGATTTATAATTTTTAAGTATATTTATTTAATCAAACTTTTAGATTAACTATTCTGGATTATTATAGTAAAGAAATGGAGTTTCTAACTTAATTAGAACTGCATTTACGGACTCCGGTAGTTTAGACTCTAGGAAAACATCCCCAGCACCCAGAAACATTCTGGGAAAGTGGGCTAGTGTCAGTTTGTGCAAGATATCTAGTTTAGACACTCAGAAACTTTTCCCAGTAACCAGAAAAGATTCTGGGGACAAGGAATTTTTCCGGGTTTGAGAAAATCGTCTGGTTAGCCGGAAATCTCTCATCCCCGGAAGTGCTCTGCACCAATTGTTCTGGCTAAGGGGGATATCACTTAATTATTTTATCGTGATTACTTATATAAAACTGTTGTAGATAATTTATTTATAATGCTAATGCAACAAATCTCATCTTTTTATTTCAAATAGCAAGCTTACTTTGACTCATTACATACAATTGTGTATTGTGTGGTGCAATCAAGTGTGGTGAGGTAACAGGCCAGATCCTGAGGATCTCACGGGAGGGCGCCTACTCAAACCCAAGTGTGTTAACTTAAATTTCTTCTCATTTTTCCCACCATGAGCTTATATTTATTATAGAAATTATCAACAAAGTCCAGATCAGCTCATCACTTAGTTATTTATTTAACTCCCAGAGTTTCTGATGCTTCCTCAACACCTAGTATACAATATTTTCTTTTAAGAAAGGCATGGAAACAAAATTTATTTAACTTATACTATACAATATTTTCTTTTAAGAAAGGCATGGAAACAAAATTTACTTAACTTAATGTACTGTATTATGAATCAAATCTACAGATTTGTCTATACTTTTTTAATGTGTGCACTAGACATAGATTCAATATATTATGTCAATAAACTTTATACATTATCTGTCTATGATTTGAAAATGTTAACAATGGTGTCATCTATTTACTACATTTTGTCTTTTTTTTCTTGAATGGTCCAATCATATTCTCTGGCATTGGCTGGTAAGGTTTGTTGTCCAATCTGAGGGTGTCCTCAAGAATTCTTGCACCTAGAAATTAAGTAAAATCACTCATTAAGGTTATCAATATTAGTCATTTATTAGAAAAAACAGAAATCACACCTGCAAGCCCTTTCCTGCTATAATGCAATGAGGTTAGAACTAAGTGCAAATATAGTTACCTCATCTTTATTCATTATTCACTCAGTTTAATTTGTAGCTACAATTACGGAGACCTGATCTGCATGGACTATGGTAGGTAGACTCATGAAAGCCATGAAGTTACTGTAGGTTTGTGTGATGACAAGTGGAGGGATGCATAATAAGTTCCAGGTTAAAGTAAAAATCAGAAAATATTATGTTAAAAAAAGCTTTCATAATTTAGTGTGAATGGAGTTGTAGGAAAGGTCATGGTAAGTGAAAAAAAAGAAGTACCCCTGTATACAGGAGAAATATTAAAACAAGAATTTGGTCTACTTAAAATGCAGACAATCTCTCGGCAATTGGGGGCTAGGGAATTACACTGTACGGTGGAGTAATAGCTCCATTAGCCGGAATCCCTCAAACCCAGAACTTTCCGATTGCCGGAATTGAAATTTTCTCAGAAAATCGTTCCCAAAGCTGGAATTTTCCGGAAAATTCTGGCTTTGGGAAAGATTTCCAAGGGGCACATTTCCCAGGAAAATTCCAAGAAAATTTTCCCGGTACCCGGAAAATTCCGGGAATGAGGGAGTTTTTCCGGGTTTGAGAGATGATGTAATGAGCAATTTCTGGAACTTCCAAGAAAATTTTTCCGTTACCCGGATAATTACTGAAAATTACGGGGATGAGGGATATTTTTCTGGGTTCGAGAGATGATGTAATGGGCAATTTCTGGAACTTCCGAGAAAATTTTTCCGTTACCTGGAAAATTCCGGGGATGAGAGATTTTTTTTCTGGCTTTGAGTGAGTCGTCTCGTTACCCGGAAATCTCTCATTCCCTGAAGTGCTCTGCACCAATTGTTCTGGCTAACGGAGATATCACTGTAGTCAGATCAGCGGGACCACCCTACTGATTTCACCTTTAAAAGACACATCCAGGGATCAGGAGTACTGTATTCATAAAATATGTGGTTTCTTAGGGTTTTTTCCTTAGGAAAAAAGTCAAGAGACAATGACTAGCAATTCAAGGCTGTTTATTCAAGAAATCACAAATTATTCAAATCATGCAAAATATACAACACTGGTCTTCTATTTTTTAATTGATGGGAATAGGTTCCAAATTCCGGAAAAACTCCCCTATCTGGCAAGCCCCAGGTCCAAATCATGCCAGGTATGGGACATACCTGCACAGTAATTGTATATACCCTGTAGTACATTGTGTTTACTTTGTGTGTGTTCAATGATTACATATGGAAGGGTCACTTTTGGCTTATGGATGGCCTCCAGGAATGGAACCCATTTGTAACCCATTCCTGCACTTTATTTAGTAGTACTATACCACTGCTCTTAAAGAAACAATAATACCTATACCTATTAAAGAACCCATAATACCTATTGGTTCTTTAAGTGCAAATCAAAACAAGAGAAGGATGTCTCTCAATGCTCCCTTGAGTTGTACAAACATGTGGAGGAACTGGAGACAGGCCCTTCAGACACTAGCCTTTCCTAGCCAGCAAGGAGTGGTTCAGCAACTTTAGGAAACACCAATGTCTCCACAACATTAAGTTGAAGGGTGAAGCTGCATATGCAGATGATGCTGCTGCATCCACTTCCTAGCCGTGTCGATGGTAACAGTAACAGCTGGTACTTACACACAGACAAAACAGGCTTGTTTTGGAAGCGGAAGTCCAGACAAACATTTATATCCAAGGAGAAGAAAAGTGCTCCAGGTGTTAAACCAGCTAAGGTTTGGTTAACCCTTCTGTTGTGTGGCAAAGCCAAAGGTGACTTTAAGCTCAAGCCCATGCTGGAGTACCACTCCCAGAATCCATGTTACTTCAAGGCATCCAACACTTCAACCCTGCCAGTGTACTGGAAGGCCAGTAAGAAGGTGTGGATGAGTTCATTTATGTTTGAGGAGTGGTTCATTGAGTGTTTTTGCATGGAGGTTGAGAGGTACTGCCAATGCTCCAACCTGACTTTCAAGGCTCTGCTGTTCCTGGATAAGGTCCTTAGTCACCCTACCTACCTTAATGACATGCATCCAAATGTGAAAAAAATGTTTTTGCCACTGAACACAACCACTTTGATTCAGCCTATGGATCAGGGGGTTATAGCCACTTTAAAATGTACTCAGTTACTGGATACTACTGACGGACCCAACAACCCACCCTTTCGGGAGTTCTCGCATGGCTACAACATCCTCCACATTGTCAACAACATTAAGAGTTCCTGGGACGGGGTTAAGGATACGACAATAAACACAGTGAAGACAGTGTTGAGAAAGACTGCGTTCATTTCTTCACCGGCGTTGACAACCCCCCAGAAGTAGCCAAGATTGTTAGGCTTGCCCGAACTGTGGAGGATAATTGATTCCAGGACATAAGAGGAGAATGTCTTTGACTTGCTGGGGTCCCACACTGAGGAATTGTCTGCTGGAGACCCAGGGCAGCTAATTCAAGAGGAGAAATGTCCAGGATGAAGAACCAGCTGATGCTGCAGTGAAGTTTGAGCTCACCATCAAGAGGCTGGTTCACATCATCAGCATCACAGACAAGTTGACTGAGGAAGCTGTGGACATGGATTCCAACGTGGAGCATAGTTTGTTGTTTGGGAGAGGGCCAAGTCAGCTGCTTTCCATGTACAAAGAGAAGCAGTTGAAGGCAAAGCAGTCAACCGTGACCCAGTTATCAGAGTCACCCCCAAAACAAATATCTCCACTACATAACACTGTAAGCAACCAGCAATGATCTGCCACTTGTAACACCGTAATCAATCGGCAGTGAAGTGCCACTTGTAACACCGTAATCAACCGGCAGTGAAGTGCCACTTGTAACACCGTAAGCAACCGGCAGTGATCTGCCACTTGTAACACCGTAAGCAATTGGCAGTGATCTGCCACTTGTAACACCGTAAGCAACCGGCAGTGATCTGCCACTTGCAACACCGTAAGCAATTGGCAGTGATCTGCCACTTGTAACACCGTATGCAACTGGCAGTGAAGTGCCACTTGTAACACCATAAGCAACCGGTAGTGAAGTACCACTTGTAACACCTTAAGCGACCGGCAGTGACCTGCTACTTGTAACCCTCTAAGCAACCAGCAGTGACCTACCATTGCCAAACATAAATACTACAAGCAGCGAACTGCACCACCAAATGCAAATACAGACGGTGAGCAGTGGTTCATCGAACAAACTTTGAGATCCTTACCGGAGCTGTAAATGAATATCAATAAAAGGACAAGAGGTTTTGGAAATGGATCCAGAGCGACGAAAGGGAAAGGTGAACATGGACAAAGGTGACCGAGACCCAGAGGTAGAAGTTGTCCCTCCAGACCTGAACGATTTTACGGCAACAGAAGCTGAAGGGGGCCACCCTCTGCCTGAGCCTGAATGTTCAGCACCTGACCAAAAACCCGCGTCCAACATGATGGCAGAAGTGCAACGAACTGTGACTGAAATACTGGAGGCGTGTTTCACAAAGGGGGAAGAAAGGGAAGCAGCACGATGATTGGAGTCTGGAAACGGCAAATTTGAACAGTCAGAAAGTTCTAAGAGCAATTCTGGGGACCCAAGTCCTGGATGAATACCGACTGCAGATGCAGTGGAAACAATAATAAATAGTCGACCCATCAAGCGACGTGAGAGACCTGGCAGTGTTTACACCAGCCCACATCCTCCACAGTGGCCCACACACTGATCTGCCATTAGGAGGATGTCTTTTGAAAGACTCATATCAACGATGGTGGCGGCCCGTGCAGTTCCTAGCAGACCGCTTCTGGAAACGCTGGGTGAGGAAGTACCTTCCACTACTCCGCAAAAGACAGAGGTATATAGAACCAACCCGTAATCTCCGGAAAGGCGACCTTGTCCTCGTCACGGGAGAAGAACTTCCTTGCAACAAATGGCAATTGGGGAGGGTCACGGCAGCAGTCGCGGGAGCCAATGGTCTAGTGCGCCAGGCGAGTGTGCGAACCGTATCTGGGGAGTTCCGAAGGCCCAGTGACCCGTGTATACCATATTGAACACGACACACCGTAAATCTTGGGCAATTGCCCAATACCAGGAGTGTTATCGCCGCTGGCTTCAGCTACAGTGCTGGCATGTGTTGCCATTAAATCTTTCGACCTGTGACCTCACCAGATGTAGAAGTGTTTACAGATACATCCTGGTTCTGCTGAGTGGACGGTCTTCGGCGGGTGGCGGGGCTGCCCACCTTGCCATGATGCAGATCGCCCTCTCTAGTGATGCTGTGAAGACCAGCCCTCTGCTCGCACTGGTGAACACCAACTCACAATCCTGTAGAGTTTTGTGCTGGGACAATTTACACAGTACAGTAATACCCACTTAACGCGGTTTCGCTTAGAGCCGAACTTTCACTTAACACGGGTTTTTTCCACGAATACGCACAGTATCTGGCTCAAGACCTATTTTTAGATTCGCCCCACCCGCCACCGCCTGCCTGCCTGCCTGCCTGTTTTAGCTCATAAAATTCATACAAATTACCAGGCCAGAATATAATTTACATTGCTGGAATTCTTACAATATGATGATCATTTTGAATATAAACATCATAGATTTTGCATTAGACATAAAATTTTAGATATAATGTTTACTCTGAGTAAATATGTTATTTTTTGTGCAAAATATATGACATTTGTATTCAAAATATTCCTGGTCTTACAAGGAATCCAGCAATGTCAATTATATTATCCTAACTTTAGTTTGAGGTATTATTTATTAAAATTTAGTGGTTTTCCCCCCAAAATTTCTCAGAGAGGGAAGAGCCAGCGAGTGTAGTGTGAGAAGAGGGGGAGGGAGTTGAGTCCATTATATGAATGGACATTAACTTGGCGACTGTATTTCTCTTAAGTATTAATTGTGTGCATGTACCATCATAAAATTAAGATGTTATTTTTACTAGAACATAGGTATTGTGTCGTGTGTCGGAAAAAGTAGAGTTTGGGGGTCCGGCCAGTCTCTATTGGAATTAATCCCATATGTTCTGTTGTTCACTTAACGCTTAACACGGTACCCTGTGGGTTCAATTGACCGTGTTAAGCGGGGTACTACTGTACAGTACTGTTGTCTTTTGGAACACCATACTGAACTGCATTGACCTGCACTTGAAGGTATAGCCTAAGTGATGACATACCCCTCACTACTGAAATAGTGTTGGCTAATTACGCCTACTCGTTTCTGCCTTATCTGGAGCAATAAGACAATGCGGAATGAAGTGGAACTAAGATTAATATAGTTATGAACTTTGCGTTATGTCACTATGTTATGACTTCTTTCTATTTCTTGATAACATCTGATCATTGCTGCCACATGACAACAGATCACACCACCTATCTAGGCCCTGACATCATCTCCAGTCGTAGCCCACCACAAGATGTAGATATGGACTTTTACCTGGGAGGTCAGTTCAGACAGACGCATTACCCTCTGTCACAATGTACGTAAGTTGCCAACACTGAAGTCTAATTTTCGAGATCCTGTATTACCTTTCCTATCAAACATATCTGAGGGAAAGAACTAAGAACCGAGACAAAAACTACCAAATAATTTCTACCAGAGTGCCTTTGGCCTACAAGAGAATTCTACAGTTACAGTCCGACATCTCAATACCACAATGTACAAGAGTGAAACATGGCCAAACTGAGGGACTGAAAATGTGCAGGAGGCTGTGCTGATGTGTTTTGGCCACAGAGCTTGGATATGGAAGAGATACCCCTGTATAAAAAATTTTGTGTGTACATACTTAATGTAAGTTGAGGACTGAGGAGACTGCACAAGATGTGGAAGAGGTGAGTAAGGGAAATCTGACTGAGGAGGAGCTGAACCAGAGAATGTCCAAAGTTACAGAAGGAGATAAATGTGTGGAGGCATCATGAGCTAATATGTTGAATGGTGGCACAAAGATTATTGGATGCAGTTGCCCAAAATCAACAGCAAAATACAAGTCTCTCATTCATTCTTTGAAGCTGCCTGAAAATATTTTATGAAGACTTTTTCCATTGATCCATTTCAAAATTGATCAGCTACATTAAAATATGTGAATCGCACCACATTTTTACAAACATATAAGGCTCCTACTAATGATTGACTATAATTTGTTACTTGTTATAGAATATCTTTATAGCTGCAGAAAAAGAAAAATTCTAACAGAAAAAAGCAAATTATCAAAATAAAGAAAGGTCTAATAAAGCTAGACCCAATAACTATAGCCCTGGGCTATTTTTCGCTGGCAGAGGGTCTCAGGGTGGCCTGCGACCATACTCGAGTTTAGTGGGCTTTTCTTTTCTCTTTTAAAGGGAGACTCAGGGGATATAGAATTTGTCAATAGATTTGGATGAAAGTTAGAGGATATATAATATGCACTATTATAATACTTACTATTAATAGTGGAACAGCATTGGAATGATATTCCAGGGTAGTGGTCATACCTATCAAATTTGCATATATTATTACTAGCACTGAAAATAATAGGTGGCCCTGAAGAACTCTTATAACTTCAATTTGCCCCTCCGATCTCAAAATTTTCCCCAACCCTGCTGTAAAAAAATCAATATTTGAGAAAAAGTAACAATATGTGACTTACTGTAAGTCCCATCCTCCCTCTTGACAGCTTGTATAACACTCGTCCGCAAGACTTCTTCTACTTGTTGTCCGAAGGTGATGAGCTGACCAGAGAAAAAGTGTAATCCATATTAGTTAATGACAGTGATCTAGCACCAGATTATTTTCTTTCTTGCATCACACTGGAAAATATCAATTATACAAAGTATTCAACAAATAACATTCATAAATATCATGACCAATCTCTTCATTTATTCCAATCATCACAAAAATAATTCTGCATACAACATAAAGAATGATGAATGGCAGCATGATATAATGTACAAGCATCCTTCCATTTATGAAGGATCTTTCAGGAACAGAACCCTATTATAAATCAAGCAATGCCTGTACACTGCAATTTGAAGTTCACAAAGACATTATGGTGCCAAGTTGTGAAATACAGGCATCCCTGGATTTATGAAGGCTCTAATTATGAAAGGTTTTCTGGAACAGGATCCTTATGTAATTCAAGGCTATTCTATGGCCAGGGAGAGGGGTGAGTTTCCTGTGAAATCTATACTGTACTGTTAAAACACCCCTGGCGGAGCCTGCCAGCACCTACAAAACATTTAACGGTAATATATGTTATCCATGGCTGAATTATTGCTTCTATTACCTGAACAGCTGCCCCACTAAACATAAAATGCACTGCATGTACTGAAGAACTGTGGCATGCATCAACTATTGTACAAAAACTGAAGGCAAAAACTGTAGAATAACACTTATCCTCCAAATTAATTTAAAATCAGAATTGACAAACAGCTGCTTTAGTAAAATCATGGTGTTTATTTGGCATGGGATTTTGTGCTTCTACCTTCTTCCTTAGCAAATAGACTGGTTCTCTTTTTTAAATTTCAGCTTATTTTAGGAGAGGTCGGCAAATCTGAGACAAAGTTGTCAAATAGTTTTTTCTGAAGGAATTTGGTATGCTGAATTCATTTCTGGAATATGACAAGATAAATATTGCACTGTTTTGGAGTTAGAGTTGTATATTGAAAATAGCTACCGTGCAGAAAGGGAAATTTTGACAGAGGTCAGTAGAGAGAATATAATGCTTTTATTTACAGTTTTCACACACTCTTAGCAATTATACCTTTAAAATAAACTGTTATTTGTATAATTTGAAAATTTGGAGCATATTCTGATTATAAACTCTTGAAATTGAATCACGCAGAGACAGCATTCACATACAGTACATAAGTAACAAAAAAATTACACTCTGTGGAGGCATCTTTCACTATTTTTGCACATTTATCTAGAAATTGCTGATATAAAAAAGCACTATGAAATAAGAATGAAACTGAGACAATATAGAATAATAATTAAAGCAAACATACAAATTAATTAAATCAGGCTAAAGAAAAGTAACATCAATATTAGAACAGAATTTCATTGTCTTTCAAATGTTCCTGCAGATTTTGTCAGCTGTGCTGCACTTACATGCAACAGTACACACTAGCTTTGAGTTCTTACATTTACAATGAACACTTGTGCACTGTTTGGTGTATTTGCAGCTGATGAGCTCCATGCAGGAGTCTGGCAGTGAAGGCAGGGACTTGAGAACAGGGACAAGTGAGCCATCATCTAATCTCCATCCCATTGTCTCAAGAGGGGGCAGCATGGGATACTGCATGTCAACTTGCTGGCAAATGGATGCCTGGTAGTGTGCATGCTTTATGTGGAAAGACAGAGCATCACTTATTGGTGGGAGGGTTTCTAAGGTGTGGGCTCAACCAAAAAGAATGAAGCGAGCCCTGTAGCTGCATCACACTTGTAGACTCTGCAAATGAACTCTTCAGTATTTTGGACTGCTTTCTCACAGAGATCACCTTCTCTAAGTAATTACAAGAGATTTGATGTTCCTTGAAGACATTCCAACAGGATTTTTTTGGTGTGACCAGTCAAAAAGGATGTAGTGTCAGAGCCTGTCAGAGCATGAAATGCAGGCAGTGTGCTTAACATACAATTCTCAAGGTGAGCTGTTGTAGTGGATACTCTACCCTACAATTGCTGATTGGTCACTTGCCGTCCGCTTACCAGCCAACCAGAGGCGAGTTCCACAGACCGGGCCTCGCTTTTGGACTGCACGGTGATTGACCAGTTACCGCCTTCACCTCAGCCAATCAGCAGCGCCGCTCACTTCACATCTCTCCACCTAATCCGGCAGAATCGTATACATACCCCCAGCCTTGCCGTGAAGGTCATTCTACTCAACGCTCTCAAACGGACAGGATCTTCTCTCAACAAGCCCCTCATCCATGCATGCGCCCCAACATTACAAATGGTGACCCCCGGAATGACGCACTCACACAGGGTGGATGAGAAACAGATCACTCTTTCAGTCTTCAATCACAATATTGAAGACTGGCTTATCCACATGGAGGCAGCTCTCATCGGCTCAACAGCTACAGACGAACAGAAGTACGTCGCCCTGGTCTGTTCCCTGCCCACAGAAGTCACCACACAAGTCTCAGAAGTCATCACTAAGCTCCCAGATGACAACAAATTCACAGTTCTATGAGAACCTCTCAAGAGGCGATACCAGCGGCCTGACACCAGTCTCCTGCAAAACCTATCCGGTCTCTCCCTCGGCAACTCATCACCTGCACGTCTCTGGGACGAGATGCGGAGACTGAACTCCCACCACACAGACAGGCTTCCTGACACTATCCTGCGCCAGCTTCACTCTCAGAAGGTTCCTGCAGAAGTTCGTCTCGTCCTCTCGGCATTGGACTACTCTACAACCTTGGCGACCTATGCAGCCACGGCAGACAAGAGTATTCCACGAATACACTGCTGTGCGCCATGCTGCCGCGAACAACTCAGTGACCACACCATCACCTAGCTCCGGTCTCGTCAACCAGATCAACACTCTTCAGAGAAGTAGCATCCCACCAGACAAACAGGACATGAGGGACCTGCTACAGTCTCTATACCGCAGGATGGACACCCTCGAGCAGCTCTACTCCTCCAAGCCTGCTGCTGCTCCTGCCCCTGCCCCACGTACTGTGTCCTACCTCAGACGCTGCCGCCAGCCCCCTGCACAGTGTACCTACCCTCTGCTGGTACCATCAACAGTTCGGTGCTAACGCTAGACGCTGTGAGGCTCCCTGCAACTACTCGAGGAAACGACGTCGACGGAGATTGGTAGACGCCACAACCTCCTTCACTTCAGGTGTCTCACCGACTGCATCTCTGGCAGGAAATTCCTCGTTGACACAGGGGCATCGGTCAGCATCATGCCTCCCTCACTGCAAGACACATCAAAGCAACCCTCATATGACCTGTTCGCAGCCAACGGTACCCCCATCGCCTACTACGGCGCACACATCCTCGCCTTAGACCTTGGTCTTCCCAAGACTCTGCACTGGGCCTTCGTGGTGGCAGACATCTCTCAACCCATCCTTGGCTTCGACTTCCTCACCTTCCACAAGCTCATCGTCGACCCAAGCAACCTCTGCCTCATCCATGAGCCTACAGCACACACGATCCGGGGTACACGTGCCGCAGTCGCCGACACTATCGACTCCCTCTCGCCGTCCAACGAGTTCTCCTCCCTGCTCAAGGAGTTCAGGAACTTTTCTCACCCCGAGTCTCTCCACCACCACCTACGTCGGGAATCTTCCACCACATCGAGACTACAGGACCTCCAGTCTTCTCACGCCCTCGCCGCCTTCACCCTGAGCTCCTGAACGCAGCTAAGGTGGAATTCAACAGACTCCTGCAAGACGGCATCATTCGACCTTCAAAGAGTTCCTGGGCATCTCCTCTTCACATGGTTCTAAAGCCATCATCCAACGACTGGTGGATATGTGGTGACTACAGAGCCCTGAACCTCGTCACCAAACCTGACAGGTGCCCTATACCGCATGTCCAGAACTTCCACCACAAGCTCCACGGCAAGACCATCTTCTTGAAGATTGACTTGGAGCGTGCTTTCCATCAGATTCCAGTGGCACCTGCAGATATCCAGAAGACTGCCCTCACCACTCCGTTAGGTCTCTTCGAGTATGCCAACATGAGTTTTGGACTACGAAATGCAGCTCAGACCTTCCAAAGGTACATGGACCACATGCTTCACGACCTCGACTTTGTCACTGTCTACATAGACGACATTCTCGTCGCATCTCCAACGCCTGCCGAGCATCATCACCACCTACAGCTCCTTCTCCAACGCCTGCAGAACAACAACATGAAAGTTCACCCTGTCAAGTGCGTCTTCGGAGCCTCCTTCATCAACTTCCTCGGTCACAGAGTCTCATCGAGCGGCATCCAACCCCTACCACAGAAGGTAACTGCTATCAAGGAGTTCCCCAAACCTGAAACAGCAAAGAAGCTCCGAGAATTCCTGGGTTTAGTCAACTACTACCACCGCTTCATTGCCCAGGCTCCACGATCTTCTCAAGGGACTCCCCAAGACATCTCACAAGCCTCTCATATGGACTCAAGAGGCTTTTACAGCATTCACCACTATCAAGCAGCACATCACACACCTTACCCTGCTGGCTAACCCTGCCCCCAACGCCCGGACCACTTTCACAACAGACGCTTCTTCTACTGCCGTGGGCGCCGTCTTACAACAGGAGATCAACGGAACTCTCATGCCCATTGCCTTCTTCTCACAGCGGCTTCAACCACTTCAACTGAAGTACAGCGCCTTTGATAGAGAACTCCTGGTCATATATCTTGCTGTCAAACATTTCCAGCTTTTCCTCGAGGCCCGTCAGTTCACCATCTTCATTGATCACAAGCCCCTCGTCCACGCCTTCGCTTTAGCCTCCCAGACACATACACTTCGTGTTCTTCGCCACTTGGCTTACATCTCGGAGTTCACCAGCGACATCCAACACATCAAGAGCAGTCACAACGAGATCGCCGACACCCTCTCTCGTTGTATATCCAGCATTCTTCCCTCATCTCCACCCATGGATTACAGACAGCTCGCTGTAGCTCAAGAGAATGACGAAGACCTTACAGCATACATGACATCTCCCTCGGGTCTCACCCTCCAAGAACTCCCCGTTCCCGGCACGAACATCAAGTTGTGGTGCGACATGTCCTG